GGTAGAGGCATGAAGTTAGACCTTAGAAAATGCTCCCAAGTAGATGTGGGAAGAAAAGCAACAAAGACAAGTGGAAAAGCACAGTCGCAAAGTTAAGAAAATGACCAGAACAGCTCCAAGTCAAGAAGGCCAACCAAAAGAACATTCACGACAGCAAAAAAGTGTGGCTCACCATGCCAAATATTTTATGGTCAAGGTCAACAGAAATGAGTAAGCAGCGGTCACTACATCTATCAATTAGAGGACCCTCAAGAGGTCAGTTTCAGTAGAGATAAAGACAATTCAAGCACAAGCCCCGACACATTCGAACTCTCTGCAAACTTATACTAAGAGAAAATGGCATCCTGCTTTTTCCCTTAACTCCAAAATAAAACAATTCCTTATTCAAGCCAACATTCTTTGCCTACCTAGGAAGGTCATTATTTTCCACTAAGGACAGGAAGAAAAGGGAGAAAGTGGACACCCAATCCATGCCTACTAACTCTCAGATACAATTATTTTCCTACAGGTTTGAAAGACCCACTTGACATAAAGCTTCTGGTGTATTAGACTTCAGGTTTTCAACAGAGTAATCATTTAGTAAAATTTTCAGCAGAATCACATTCAACTTGTTCAAAAATTTTTAAAGAGGATGCTTAAAACATGCTGTCTTCCAAAAATCCAGAGATAATTTTAGATTGAAAAATCTAGGCTTGCCAAGGGAATCTGAGAACTTTTCTATCTTGGTCTCCCAATGCTAACCTATGTGTGCAAAAATAGAGGAAGATTAGAATCTCAAATGCCAGACTGAAAAGTTGCCACAACAAACCTGAACTCTTCATATGGTTTGTTATCTTGTCAGAAAGAAAGCAAATAAAACAGCAATAAAATAAACTTTTTATTTTTAAAAGTGGAAAAAAAAAATCCCTCAAACACGAAGTATTTCCTAGACTTGTAAAGAAAAATGATTTAAAAAAAAAACAAAAAAATCACTGTGAATGCAATTTAAAAACAGCATACACAAAATCTAAATATCAAATTTGTAAGCAGTCCTTTACAAACACATTGCTAACATTTTGGTGGTATCAACTGTATAATAGACAATGGTATACTATAAAGTTATAAAAGTGATAATATCTGTATTTATTGATATCACTAAAATGTTAGCAATGGCTATCCTTTAGAACTTCAGGTCTAAAATATGATTAAATGGCAGTTATAACTTTTCAATAAAATTAGGACAACTTACCCATTTGGAAAATATTTCATAACTTAAAACCAAATTTTAAGGTTAAGTAGCTAAAAGTAAAAAACAACCCCCCCCCGCCCCCAAAAATAAAAACCGTGAAATGAGAATCAAACACGAATGGAAGTTTTTATAACATTGGCATGAAGAATTTTTCAAACATGTCAGAGATAGGAAAAAATACTATGTATTTTTAAAATGAATGTTACCTTTTCCTTCATTTGTAAATTTATACCAAAGCAACAATCAGACGAATCCTTTTGGCAGAATTGTTTTTTATCTTGTGACGAACTGGAAATAATCTAAATGTTCAGCAGTAGGGCTTGGTGAAATTATAATATACACTATGAAGTCCATAAAAGTGATAATATCTGTATTTATTGATATCACCAAAATGTTAGCAACGGTTGTCACTGAGTGGTACGTTGGCAGATGACTGTCATTTTACAAGTACTGTCACAAGTACTGTCGTGAATGTGAGGAAAATGGGGGTGAGGGGCGGGAACAAGCTATTTTCAAATTGGGCGCCCCCCCCCAAGTTGAGTGTTTATCTGGCAAATTTTGTAAGGAGTATAAACAAAATTCTTATCATGCCAAGCAGGCATGCTTCTTCCCTCGCCCCGCACAGAGCTGGAAGACACACCCCTGACCCTGCGCTTGCCGCACGCGCGTGGGTCCTTCGTCGTCCCCAGCCCCGGCCCTCCCGGGGTCCCCGCGAAACCTCCCCCGCCCGGCTGCGCCAGCGGGTTCGGTAGGGCCGGAAAATCTTGTTCTTCGGCGGCCGGGCACTGCGGGGTAGGTGCGCGCAGACCGCCCGGCAGCCGCGGGGCGGCGTGAGGGCCACGTCCCCAGCCAGTCCCGGCGGACCCCGGCCTCCCACAGGCCGCCGTCCCTCAGCCGACCGCTCCGCGGGCTTCCGGGAGCGGGTCTCGGCGCCGCCCCAGGGAGCGCCAGTCCCCCACTCCTCCCGTCCGCGTCCTCGGGGTCCCCGCCGCGCCCACGGTCCCGGGCACGAGCTAGGGGACCCTTCCGGGCTTCCGTCCGCCCGGCCAGCGTCTCCAGAGCCCGGCGTCCTCCACAGCGGACAGGCAAGGGGCAGGAGCCTACGGCCCCGCGCCCTACAACCCGAGCGGAGCGGCGCCCCGCGAGCTCGTCCAGTGGCCAGCCACGGCTGTGACCCACCGGCCACCGGCCACCGGCCACCCCCAACCCCGCCGGCCCGCGCCAGGAAGCGCCCGCTCGCGCCCGCTCCTCACCTGCGACGCGCCCCGGCCGCAGCTCACCGCCCGGACCGGCTGTGTACACCGGAAGTGACGTCTCCTGGCCGGCCCCGCCCCCGCCCCCGGCGGACGCCGTTGTGGCTGCGGACCCAGCGGCTCCCAGCGGAACCCCCTTGCGCGAGCCCGGCGGGGGCGGGGGCAGCCCCCCCACCTCCTTCCCTAGGGACCGAGGACCTTCATGTGGGACAGCTAAAGCGGGGGTTGAGGACAAGCAGCCAGAGCCCGCAGGGCCACCCCAGTCCTCCAGTGTGGCTTGGCCTCCAGGCGGGAGGGGTCAGCTACGTTCTCAAGGATTTATTATTGAAGTTGATTACTGAGATATTGAGCTATTACCAGATCCCAGGCTCTGACAGGCACTGTAGGATTGGTTAGTGCCCTCACACTCATAGGTTTATTCTCTGATAGTGGAAACACAAAATTGTCAAAAATATGCGTGATGATACGGTGCCAATTGTGACAAGTGATAGGGGAAAGTAGTGGAGGGGGAATGTCCCGTGACCTAGTGAAGGCGGGTGATTAGGGAATTCTTCGCCCAGGAGATGTGTAGGAGTAAGTTCCAA